GATCCTACCATATAGCAATATCAGTATCACATTTCACCCTTATTTCATCATATCAATCCATCATTATTTCACCTATTGCGGCGTGCAACCCGATCCTACCGTATCAGTACAAATTCATCCTTATTTCTCCGCATCAATTCACCCTTATTTCACCTATTGCAGCATGCAACCTAATCCCACCATATCAGTACAATTACTCACTGAGTACAATTAAATTCATATTTCAAATCACAAGAATCACCATAACTGAAGAATATAAAGCGGAAATAGAAAGTAAACCTTATACCAACTTGGAAATCCACTTATGAAATACTACACTGCGAGAGTCCAGTAAATGACAATTAGAAGGTGCAAGTACGTCAATTAGGGCAAATAGCAGCAAGTTATGAAAACATGAAGAGGTCTAACATTTTTATCAGGAGAAATAATTATTGACAAGTAGCATTTAAAGCATGAAAGGCATTTAGGGCACATAACAGTTAAGATATGGAAGGAGATAAAGAAGGAAAAGCGGAATATCAGGAAAAACAAGCAATTCGATGGCGTATAAGCACTCGTCACCTCGTATATACGCCGCAACACATGAAATTCACCTAGCACATAGTCCGAGGGTTCCTAGTTCCCTCAAATTAAGGTTAACCTCACTCTGCAGTCAACTCAGAGCTCTACCGGGGCTTTTCCCCAAGAATCCGCCTCCACCCAAACCACTCTTATCTAACCACAATAGACTCAATAATACCAAATATTGCTAAAGGAATCAATTACATTGCATAAATTTAGAATTTCCAAACTTTTTCCCAAAAAAGTCAAAAATCGACCCCGGACCCGCTTGGTTCAAACCCGAAATTCAGACAAAAATCTTATTAACCATTCAACCTCAATCCCGGTTATATAATTTGTTTCAAAATCCGACCTCAATTTGAGGTCTAAATTCTAATTTTACAAAAAATCTCTAATTCTACCCAAAACCCCCAATTTCCACCATGAAAATCCTAAATTTTAGGTTGAAATCTTGTGGAATGTAATGGAAGATTGAAAGAAAATAGGTTAGAATCACTTACCAATGAATTGGGGAAGAAAAGTTCTTGGAAAAATCGCCTCTAAGGTTTTCTAGGTTTGAAAATTTGAAGAATGAGAGAAAATCCCGTCTAACTCAGCTTTTGACCAGTTGCAGATGTCGCAATTGAAACCTAATGTGAGACACATTTCGCAATTCCATAGAAGCTCTATCTCTACTATCATCGCAATTGTGATGATTTGTTCTCAATTGCGAACATTGGCCATCCCGTAAATGCGACTTTTTGGTTGCAATTGCGATTCTTTGATGCCCAGTCCTTCTTCGCAAATGCGAGGAAGTGGTTCACAATTACGAACCTGACAGGAATACTGACTGCTCGCAAATACAGAGCTTTCTTCACAATTGCGAGGATCGCATTTGCAAGCCAGACCTCGCAAATGGAAGATCTGCAGCAAACACCAGAAACCAACAAATTGTTCAAAGTTCTAACCATCCGTAGCCTATCTGAAACTCACCTGAGCCCTTGGGGATCCAAACCAAACATGCACACAAGTCCGAAAACACTATACGAACTTGCTCGCGTGATCAAATCACCAAAATAACACCTAGAATTATATACTGGACACCAAATCAAATGAAATTTTCAAGAAAACTTTAGAACTTCTATTTTAACAACCAGACGTCCAAATCACATCAAACTAACTCCGTTTTTTACCAAATTCGACAGACAAGTCATAAATATAGTAATGGACCTATATCGGATTCCGGAACTAAAATACGGACTCTATATCAACAAAGTCAAATATTGGTCAAACTTTTAAAGTCATTAGGCCTTAAACTTTCAAATTTCGACAAAAGTCGATAACTCGAGCGAGGAACCTCAGAATTCGATTCCGGGCATACGCCCAAGTCCCAAATCACGATACGGACCCACCGAGAGAGTCAAAATACGGATCTGGGTCCGTTTCTCAAAATATTGACCGAAGTCAACTCATATGGATTTTATGGCAAAATTTTATATTTTATCAGTTTTTAACACAAAAGCCTTCAGAAAAAATATTCGGGCTGCACACGTAACTCGAGAAAGGCTTAAAGAAGCTATTGGAGGCTTTGAAACATAGATTTAGGTTCTAAAACTCTATATGACCTATCGGGTCATCACATTCCTGCACTTACGTGACTGCAGATGCGCAGGGGGATCGAAGAAACGGATCTGAGGTTGGGAGTTGGATCCGTAGAAGTGGCATCAAGGCTCACAGAAGTGAGTCTGCAGGAGTAGAAGATTTGGCCGCAGGTGTGGAGGAAACCGTAGAAGCGGGCGTTGAGTTGCTCCTGCGAAGCCACAGAAGAAGAAGTGCTGGGCAGAATGTTTAAATACAAGGGTTCGCGATTTTGGCTTCATTTTAAGATTTTGAGCTCGGGTTTTGGCGACTTTTGAGATAGTTTGTTAGGATATTCTTGAGGTAAGTCCCTTGTGCTCATTTTCTTATCAATAATCTTGTTTCCTCATTGATTTTTCTACCTAGATTGTGTAGTTTTGATATGAAATTTGGGGGTTTGAGGCTAGGGATTTAGAGAGTTTGATTTGGGGATTTTAGTGGCGTTTTTGTGTTAGATTTTGATAAATTTGTTATGGTTAGACTCGTGGTTGAATGGGCTTTCGGGCTTTTTGACTTTTGTTAGATTTCGAGACGTGGGCCCGAGGGCCGTCTTTGGCTGATTTTTGGCTTTTGATTACTAACTTCGTATTTTCTTGTGGAATTGACTTTTTTAGCCCGTGTTGATTATATTGTACTATTTATGGCTAGATTCGGGACATTTGGAGGCTGATTTGCAAGGCAAAGGTGTATTGGTCTAGAGATTTGCTCGGATTGAGGAAAGTAACACTTTTAACTTGGCTCTAAGGGTAAGAAACCCCGAATTATATGTTATATGATTGGTGTTGAGGTGATGCACATGCCAAATGACGGGCGTGCGGGCGTGCACCGAGAGAATTGTGACCTGGTCGATTCTATGGCACTATATAGTAGATTTATCTTATTGATATTCGTGTTTTCATCATGTGCTAAAGTAATTGAGCTGCCAATCATGCTAAAGATCATGTTTAGGCTATATGCTCATACTGTTGGGACCCATAGTGGTCGTTTCTTGTTGTTGACTTATTGATTTCATTGAAATTTCATACTTAGTCATATTCATTCATTACATATTATATCTCAGTCTCTGTTGTTATTTATTGATATGTTATATCATCATTTTCGGGCTAGTTTTATGATATTGTAATCCCCGTGAGAGAGAGACTGGAGAGATTGATGACTGAGTGAGACCGAGGGCCTGTTTATGAGTAATATTTATGGGATCGGGCTGCAGGCCGCAACGGATTTTTCTAATATATGATAGCGTTTGGGCTGAAGGAGCCCCTTCGGAGTCTGCACACACCATCAGTGAGCGCGATTGATTTATATTGAGGGATGGATCTTCCCTGGACATGGATCTTGTCCGAAACATTTATACCTAGGGATGAATCTTCCCCACGGAGTGGATTGGCCCTACCTAGTACTGAGTGACTAATGGTCAGTTGATGTATATATTCTGGGATGGATCTTCCTTGGGCCGGATTGGCAATATACAAGCATTTCGAGAGTGTGACCACATGAGGATTTCAGTATGGTGCATCACATACAACATATGTATTGGTATGTAGAAGTAGAGAAGTGATATTCTTCATATCGTTCAGAATTGCTCTATCTTACTGGTATTGAGTTTAACTGTTGAACTTGAAAGCATGTCTACGTTTCTGTACTATTATTTCTATATTGATTGTACCGGTTGAGTTCGTCACTACTTTCAGTCTAAAGGTTGGATTTGTTACTTATTGAGTTGGTTGTACTCATGTTATACCTTGCACCTCATGTGCAGATCCAGGTGTTTTCGGTCACAGCGGTTGCTGAGTTGCGGAGTCAGGATCTTCGGAGATTATCGAGGTAGTTGCATGACGTTCGCAGACCTTGACTCTCTTTCCTTACCTTTATTTATGTTCAGTTCTTATTCTCTAGATGGTGTATTAGATTGTATCCCTGTATAGATGCTCATGTATTGTGTGACACTCCGGTTTTGGGAGAGATTGTATTGAGTTGCGAACTATTTTTAAAAGGTTTTCCTTAAATTTAACTGTTTTCGCATTTTCAAAGCTTTTATTTTGTTGAAATGGTTGAGTAATTGGCTTGCCTAGTTCCACCATAAGCGCCATCACAATGGTTTTGTTTTGGGTCGTGACACAACTAAAAAGACTCAAGTAAAAGTCTTTTAATGTCTTAAGCTTTTAGGTTGTACATGAAGTTTTCTTGGCTCTTTTGATTTATAGAAGAAATTTTCTTGGCTCTTTAATTTGATGGCAGTTAGGTAAAGTTCAAACTGTTTGATCATGTACTCATGGTTTTTATAAGTAAGTACTATATATCCACCACACAAAAAAATATTCATGTAAAGTTGATTGAATATCTATCAAACTATTATTAAGCATATTATTTAATATATTTATGTGATTTCTTAAAATTATATGGGATACACGCGCGAAGCGCATGCTCAAAACTAGTAAAATGAAAGTACAGTGAGACCTCTCTATAACAACATCCTTATATAATGGCACTTCACTATAAAACTCAAGTTTTTCCGAAACCAAATTTCATGTTTTATTATAATATATATTTTCTATAACAGCAATTCGCTATAATATCCAAAAATATCTTGAACAAACGAGGTTGTTATAGAGAGGTTTGACTGTAGTATACAATAAGTATTTCATTACCGTTAGATTCTAGTATACTCTGCTTGAATTGGTAAATATAAGTATTTCATTACCGTTAGATTCTCCTATCTAATAAGAGGGAGTTAGCACACACCTGGACGACATGTCTGCTTCACACTTCAAGGGTAATATTGTCTTTCCATCTAACTTCTTTTAACTTCACTTGGATTATATCGACCACTTTGGGAAATCTGGCAATCACCGCTCTCTACAAGCTCTTCTTTGGCTTCTCTCTTCTCACTCTTCTTGTTCTTATCCGTACCAGGCAGACAGCTCCTCTTTGTTCTCAACTTTGCGGTTTATAGATTTTACACCTTCTTCAGGTGAGCGTTCTATTAGCACTGTTTCTATTAATTTAGTTTGCATTATTTGGGCCCCTTTGATTCTGATTTCCTTTATCACGTATTTCCAATACTACGGAGTATTATCTTTTGCAATTTTCTATTATTTGAATTTTGTGTTCCCATCGCTGCTTTCTGTTGCTCTGTAAGTGTTTCGGAAAGTTCTTCAATGAATTAGGATTTCCATAAGATTTTCTAATTATCTTTGGGTTTAATTTGTGGCTTCATGACTTGGGAAGAGAAGTGGCTGGTTGGACCTGCTTTGGATTTCGATATGAAAAGGTAATACACGGACGAACTATGCCCTCTCTTTAACTTGGGGTGTTTAAAAAAGAATGAAAAACTTTTGAAACTTCTAATCTTAAACCGATCATAACATTCGTGTCATTGAAAAAACTTCTAAAATTTATGATCTTTAATAAAACAAGGCTATGAAAGCTTCCATTAGGGGTTTTGTGTAAAGTAGAGTCTCTACAAGTTGGATATTGATAGATAGATAACTCACCCCTGATAAAAAAATTGGTAACTTACGGAAAAAGCTAAAATGAAGTTGATAAACTAAATACACCGGATGACCGGATTAAAAAAAAAGGGAGTCTTTGTATAAAATTAAGCAAGTGAGACGGTATAAACAAGTTGCAGATATCTATTGCAAAAATAAAAATACAGCTAACTATTTTGCCAATTCTGAAATATGTAATAAGAATAGATCTATATAAGTTTATGATATCTCAAAGTAAACTTCACTAATAAGTTATCACCATAGCATGACCAGTATGATAGAGAGTTAGTAGCTGTTATTACCAAGGTTCTTCAAAACATTCTGTTAAGAACAATGAGAATTATGATCAAAACTTATGTAGAGATTCTTAGTGATCTTTACTTGTGTAAGATGTTCCTTGCATTAGAACTTAGTATGAATGATGTGCTAAGTAAATATTTGAACAGACGTGTTTATCACTTTATTTCCAGCGTTTATCACTCCTACCTAAGGCGGACCCACATATAGAAGAGTGGCTGCTGAAACACCCATTAAACTGCTAATGAGCATATATAATAAAATTGATATTTTAATACTATATGATATGAATTGTTCATTAAGCACCTATAGCATTGGATAGTCTTCTGCTGCATGAGGTTAAGAGGATTCGCAAAGGCTGCTAAAGCACTTCGCCAGAGAATGGTTTAGAAGCAATATTTTCATTTGGAACTTATTTATTTATGTCCATGTAGTGACTGATGTACAATTATTCAGAATTAGCTTAGAGTAATACAAAAAATGATGAATTTATCTTTAGATGTAAAATGACAATCACCTTTTCAGAAGTATGGTTCGTCTCTCTTTTCACAGGTTACGGGTTGCGGCTAAGACAGACCCAAACAGAGAAGGGTGATTGCTCGAGCACCCATTGACTTGAAATTCTAGGTCCGCCACTGGTCCGACTCTTGAATCTTTTTGTGCTTATTTTCTCTTCCACTGGAAACACGAGGTAACACCCAAAGTTTGAATTCAATTCAAACATAGAACAAAATGGTGCTCCATTATAGCACTTATTCGTACTCTCTTAGCTTTCTTTTAATTGTATTTTGCAAAATCCTGCAACTTGAGTCAATGCGCATCGTATATTAGTTCTCTGGTTCCTAATTTTTTCTTCTTTTATACTTTATTATCTTTCAAAGAAAAGCTTCGTGAAAAAATGCACGTCTTTAAACTGTAAAGTCATCTATTTGTTATTTTACATGATCATCCGATACTTGGGTCGCACAAATGAACGGTAGAAATTAAACAATTTATCAGCTATAAAGAATTTATCAGGAATTCACAGATATATGACCAATTTGTAAGTCCTTTTATTTCTCCCAGTGATTTTTCCTTCCTGAATGAGAACTATACAATGTATGATAAAATTATATGCATAGAAACACGATAATTTACATCTGTTGCTAATGCTATTCAATATTGCTAATTCTCTGTATTGCTTGGCCAATATGTGGAGTTCATTTTCATCATATGGGGAGTGACTGTTTCGTTTCTCTTATCGATCTTAGATTTCTCAAAGTTCTCTATCTCCAAACAGTTCTCCTCTTACTCCTCTGATCTTAATGTTGCTACTGAATTTTTCTTTCTGGATCATTATTTTCTGGTGGGTATTCTTCTTTTTAGCTTTTGTTTCTTCTATCATCTGTTTTATCTTCGATGACATGTTAGGAATTTGTGTTTTCTTATGAGGTCTTAGGGCTATCGGGCACAGAAACTTTAACATGCGAAGAGCTTTTGTAACTTAGGTGTTTGAGAAATTTATTCGAAGTAGGCTTTCTATTATATTTCTTATGCATCTCACTGCTTTCTCCCTTCTCTGGTATTATTTCATGGTTCTTTTGACAAGGATTATGTTGTAAAAACTAGCTTTGAACATTACATAGAGACTGAAGTATTACTTTCTCTCAATGCCAAAACGCATCAAAATCTCCATCCAGCAAGTTTTTTTTATCTCTGTGTTCTTCAGTTGTTGCTTCGATTTTTTGTGCCTATCAATATTTGATTTTCTTTCACCGTTCATTAATGATTTGAGGTGAGCTCCTTGCTTGTTCTTTTTGTTTCTTTTTTCAGTTATTTCTGTTTACCTTATGATTCTAGGTGCTTCGTTGTCTCTACTTATAAGAGAGAAACAAAGAGAAGTTTTCTTTTTTACATACAAAAGAAGTTACTGAAACAGTTTGGATCCATGCTTGTGAAAACTGGGAATCTAATTTGACCTCTTTGTCACACAGGGTCATTCAACAGTTTCATTTCTTTTGGATGAATCACTGATCTTTATTTTGGTTAGCTTGACTGCAGGTAGAGAGATTCTTTACCGGAAATACTGTAAAATAAAATCGCATATTTAGGTATCCCATGTAATTAATTAGACTTCTAATTTTTTCTTAATGTGAACCACATAATATTTAGGAGGCGCTTCATTATTGTTCCGGGATCTTCAAATAAGGCCTGCCAATTAATGTTTACACTTTACACTGTTTGTAAACTTCTAAATTTCCTTTAAATGTTTTCCCTTCATTTGATACGTCTTTGACTTTGACAGTTAATGCCATGCTTTACTTATTAGGAGATTGGTTACTGTTGTAATATTTTCGCTTGGCTTGAAAATTTGTGTTTAATTTTAATATGCTCGGTAGCTTTTAGTTGATTTTGAAGTAGTTCACCAAGATGACAAAAGAAACAAAATAAATATGCATTTGAAGAGGTGCTGAGATCCACTCAGGTAAACTGGTTTTATGTGTCTTAAAAACCTGTATGTTTTACCAAGCTCTTCTTTTTATCAGTTTGAGATTGTGTATGAATGTTACTATGATTTGTTATACTTGAAAGCGATTGTTCTTGCCCATTGGATGAAGAGGAGCTAAAGGCCAAAAAGTTTTCAAGGCATCTGATGATAACATATGATAAGGTAGTTGTTATGGTGCAATTGATTGTCTTTATTCTGAAACAGTGAATTATTCTCTGTTAAATTCTCTTATGATGAGGTTTGTCAGTTGTGACTTCCTTATCCTTGCATTTTACATCATTACTCAAGGTAATTTGCCTCTTCGTACTGTTGAAGGTGGGGAATTACACTGGTAAAATATTACAAACCAGCAGATGCAACCAATTATACACCTATTTCATGTTGCAATTACATGTGGAGATGACATAATAGTTACTGGCTTGAAGATGTATATTGGTAAGCTCCCGTTTATTTTTTCTTGCTTGTACTATGTCCAAATTACGGACGATGATTTATTGGTCTACTAACAATTGGAAGTTCAAAGTGCTTCTCTCATATCTGTATTTCGTCTCACATATCTATATTTACTGATAGGTGTTTCGGATATAACAAGAGTGGCAACTGAGATGGGCACTGTAGTTGATTGTCGAAAGGGAATGATGGGTTAAATGTGCTTGTGCTGAAAATACAAATTTTCTATATTCTTGTGGCTATTACATCAATAGTATTTAGCTGTAATCAGTACCTATGGTTATCCGGATAGCAGTAGCATTGTAGAGTGTTTTACGTCCTCTTTTGCAGATATTGTACTATCATACATACTATTTATATGATGGATGAAAAGCCTACTGGTTATGATAGTCCATAGTTAGAGATGAGTACTATTTTGGTGACGCCGGAATACTTGAAAAAATCAAGCATACTGCTTAACCTGTTGGGCCCACCTTTATCTAGTACATAAGCTAAAAAACAGTACAAAATATAGGTTGACTCATATAATCCGTCAAAAGACCCGTTATCAACTCGTATTGTTAGCTTCCAACCCACTCATTTGCTAGCACAAGAATATGCAACAAGACACTGAGTTGACATCAAGGAAAATTATTTTGGAACATGGATGCAATTAACATTTTTTAATGGAATTGACACTGAAAACACGTGCGAAACATGCGTGCAGTGATTAGTATTAAAAATAGTGCGACTATGCTTGTCCTGATTCGTTTCTTTACTTCCTGAGTTCCTTCTTCCATATAAATTTCTTTTTTCCTTTCTTTCTATTGTAGACTACTTAAGTTAATTTCTCTTCGTTCCCTATTTGAGTAATTTCACTATCAATGTTAAGGTGACATTATTAAGGCTTTTAATACAAGCCAGTCGATAAAAAATAGTTACACCGCTAGTCAAATAAAAAATATATATTATATACTCCTTATTAATATATAAAAGATATATTTATCGGCTGTCGAACGATTTGTCTAGATTTTTTTAAATAAATTGGTTAGGTTCTTTTCTTGCGAGAGGGAAAAAGAATCGGTTTTGTTTTTGTTTTGAAATTCATTCACTAGATCAAAGGTTCTTTTACGAATTAATATTTTGCACTTACGTCTTTTTTCCTTTGAAGAAAAATGCTTGGTAAAAGAATAATTATTCTATTTTACTTTGAAATATTTGTGAGTAGAGAAATTTTTTCAAAAAAACTTCAACGTTTGTGAAAATTTCTCAGGTGCAAATTTACTTCTCGCAAGTTAGAAATTTATGTAAGAAAATTTACAAAAAATACTAGAATATCACACTTGAAGATGACCTTGTATACGGTCAAATTCGGACTTGCCCTTTCCGTGCGACTGATAGAGACTGGAGCGCAATAAGCCAAGGATCAGCCTCATATCATATCAAACTATGGTGCAAAGTTAGGTTGGCGAGCTTGAGACTTTAAGACCGATTAAAATCGAGACTGCCAAAATCGAGATCGATCAAGATCGAGACCGAATAAGATGGATATTGAGAGAAACTTACTAGGTCGAATAATGGAAAGACGAAATATCCGCAATCGGGCGAGGATCACGACGCAAATCCCGGTACGTATCAAGAAGAGGCCGATTAATTAGCCAATCATGGAATTTCTTACTGTATTTAGAATTGTATCAAGAGTAGGACTCCCTTACTATATAAAGGGGGTCTGATCATTTGTAAACATCATCACATTTACGCAATACAAAGCAATATACTACCTTTCTCTTAAGCTCTCCATACTCTGTTACTTTGTTCATCTTTTCTAGTGAAATATTCGTTTGGTTCGAGGGCAACCTAGCTCGAGGACCAAAGCTATACATTTCCTTTGGTTTGCTTTTGTTTCTATTTACAGTCAATATCTATTTACGTATCTTCTTACTTTGTGCCAAGTTATATCACGTATCCTTAAAACTACGTATAAATTCAATTGTTATCCGATTTTAGGGTAAACAAACCTATTAATATTTGTTCCCTCTTTACCACTATACTAGAATCTTCTTTTATGTTAAAGGAATTTAATATTTCATATGTAGTTAAAGTTTTTATCATGATATAATGTTTCGAAAAAGAAAATTCAATTGAACTCCGCCACTATATATCTCAATCCCTTCTCACATGTAGTGGCGGAGGCAGGATTAACACTAAGGGGTTAAAAAAAAAAAAAAAATTAAAAAGTTTATAGCTAGTGGGAATAAAACCAATACCTTATAATGATTTTGAACCCTCTTGACCACTAAGCTATGCTTTTGGGTTGTGTTAAGAGGGTTCAAAATATAATATATAAATATAAAAAACAGATTTTGCCTTACATATACAATGTAATCTTTCGGCTAAGAGGATTCGGGTGAACACCCTTCCGCCCCTAAATCCGCCCCTGCTCAGAGGTCCCTCACCTCTTTTTCCCTCTAGTTGCACCACAAATATTAAAGAATATTACCCTACAATGCACCCAAAAGTGAGACCAATTTGGATTTTAAAAAAAATTTCAAAAACAAACCAACATTTCGTAAATTTTTAAAAGTAATAGGAGTAAGAAAGTTCCTCCAAGGATAAAAGCAGAAAGAGAAAAAATACACAAAAGGAAAGGCCACTGTGTGTTAACCAGTCGTCGTCGACAGCGACCCGTCACCGACCCCTCCCACCTTCATTTCCATTTCCATTTCCAGTTTTTCAAAAAAAAAAAAAAAAAAAAAATCCGCTCCCTTTTCCCCTATTCATATATGTTCGGTTTGATTTTACGATTCTCTCTCTACAATTTCAAAATATTCTGTCTCAAGAATTGCTTCCTATCCACGCCATAAAAATATATTATCTAAACCCTGAAAAAGAAATTGATTTCGAAGAAATCAGGTGATAATGGATCGTTTTAGGGACGATGAACACAGAGAAATCCAAAAACCGAAAGCATCGATACTTAACCGATCGATGACGGTTCATACTGCCGTTAACCCAATTGAATTCCCAGAAAAGCCCGTCACATATTTCTACCCTTCTCCTCCTTCAATCGAACGTAACGGCTCCGTCAAAAAACTGCACAGCCCATCGATAGGATCAATGGGAAGTTCCTTCAAAGGTACCGTTAAAAAGCTATGCTCTCTTTTCGAGTCACGTAAACCGTCAAATGTACAACCTCAAAGCCCTACCAAGCATTTGAAATCCTTCAATTCCGATTCTAGGGTTTCGTCATTTTCTGATTTGGGGATTTTCCTGCCTGGAACGGAGGACAGTGTCGTAATTTACTTTACGAGTCTTCGTGGGATTCGGAGAACGTTCGAGGATTGTTATACTGTGAGGATGATTCTTAAGAGTTATAGGGTTAAGATCGACGAAAGGGATATTTCGATGGACAGTGTGTATAAGAAAGAATTGCAGAATGTTTTGGCCGAAAAGTGTGTCACTTTGCCACAAGTTTTCGTCAAAGGGAAGTACATTGGAGGAGCTGAAGTGATCAAGCAAATGAACGAAGTGGGCGAGTTGGCGAAGTTGTTAAGAGGACTTCCCCTTAGGCCACCGGGTTATACTTGTGAAGGATGCGGGGATGTGAGGTTCTTGCCTTGCTCGAATTGTGATGGAAGCAGGAAGTATTTCGATGAGGATGAAGCACAGCTCAGGAGATGTCCCGAGTGCAATGAGAATGGCTTGGTTCGTTGCCCTCTTTGTTGTTCTTAATTTTCATAGTGTATGAGTTAATAATAACTATTACAGCCTGCTCACTGCCAAATAGGTTTTGGTTTGTGCAGCTAGTTGTCTAAGGTTGAATAGCTTTTGCGTATCTAAGGCAAAAGTAATGTTTGTTTAGCTTCTTTAATTGACATGTGAATGCTTGTATATGTACATAATGCTTGGAAAACTTCTCTGTGGGGATGAAGGGGCTTTTTCATCCCCGTATAGTCATGTAAATTTGCCATCCAATATAAGGTGTGGTTTTGATTGAAAACCTATTTAGTTTCTTTAATAAGCGACCATGAAAGTGAAATAAAGATCCTTGTTGCAAAGGGCAATCATAGTTTGCATTAATTATAGCGAACATTTCTATACTATGCCCAGACTGCTAGCAGTGGCATTTGAACCCTATAATATGCCAATGGTTACGATCATATAGCACATGCATGCGGTCACACCCAAGGGTGTGGGCTAGTGATCAATGAAGTGAGATGAAAAGCAGGAAGACGAGAGTTCAAATCCCAGCACAGAGGGAACATGCTAGGTGACTGTTTTTTATCTGCTGGGCCCCGTTGCATAGAGTTATGCAGTACCTGTATTGGTAGAGGTAGCAGGTACCTCGTGGAATAGTTAAGGTGCATGCAAGCTGGCTTGGGCTTAACCATCCCCCCAAACCCCCCAAAAAGAAAAAAACCAAAGACAAAGAAAAAAGCACATGCATGCAATTTAGGCCTGGTTATGTAACAGATGCAACAAGATCTATCATCCTTGGAATGACTTATCGACCTTACACAGCACCTCACAGTTTGTTCAAAACATGAGTATCTTCCCATGCAGCCATGATAGTCTGCTCTTACTACAATTTGTGCACCGTTTTCCACTTCTGTTGAAAGATCTGGCTTTTATTTTTTCTCCTTCCCTCTGTACCTGGAACCTTATGATCCTCTTTGCTGATCAGTTGAACTTTGTCTTGTCGCGTCCTCTCAATGGTTACAACTTAAAGTTATTTTTCACTATAGCTGCGCATTGAGTTGTATCTTTAAGGTCTTGAGTAGTGATATTCTAGTAAGGACTAAATTTTGGTTCAGCCATATTTAAGTTTTATTCAAAATGGATTATACTGTTAGGATGGGTAAAATTGGTTAATTAAAGATAAAAGTGTATCTTGTTGACATCTCTCATGGTGGAGCTAAGATGCAACAGAGCCTGACTCTGCATAACGGGGATGAGGCAAGATGTCACTTGCTTATGCATTATCCACTTGGGAAAAAAAGACGTCTCTTTATCCATGTATTAAGTCCATTCGGTGAGGCAGCATCCTTCCTCTCTTTTGCTTCTATCATAACTGTTGTCCCTTTCTCAATTCTTTCACCTGTCTACATGTCTCCTAAGCTCCATCTATACATGCTTATGACATCTGCAAGTAGTTAGACATTTTTAGTTGAGTGACAATGAGCTCAACGTTGGCCTTTTATCTTCCTTCAGCTAGTCTTAAATTGAGTTTTACATGTCCAGACAAAGCCTTTTAAATTGATTAAGCTATTGAAAATTTTGCTGGTTTGGATTGGTTTCTGTGTTCCTAACTCTGGTAATATAACTTTGAATTGTAAACTTTGTTGGTCAAGCGCGGAAAATGTTAGCATCTTTATCTGATGCTAATATATCAGTATAAAGTAGAAGCTGGAACTCTTTTGAAGTGGTGAGGCAGCATTTGTTTGGTATTGTTGCATTTACTCAACTTTTTATTTGAATGTATTTCAAATATGTTCCTATGTTTGCTCTTTGTTTATGTTCGTAGAAGAGGCAATGAGCACCCCAAATAGCAATTGAGATAGTTCTACTGTGGGTGATGGAATGATATAAAAAAGCCCCATGTGCCAATAGGCTCCAGAGTTCTGATTAAAAATAGTCTGCAGAATTAGGGAAAGCATAAGGTGAATATTTGTCCCCAAGTAATTGCTATATTTTGTTTCCCATATGGTATTTATCTACTCAAGTATATCTACTAAGGAATAGTGGGCTTGATACATTTTTCTGTAGAATTGCTGGTTTTATGTACTTTATGTTATTTTTTGGACACTTTAACTTTCCTGATAGGTTCTTTTAGATAATAAATTAAATTTCCTAAGTTCCACCTTTTCATTCTTTATACGGACGAGGGTCAAAAATATCCCTCTACTATTATAAAATGTTCGCTTATAGCCTCCGTTATACTATTGGTCCAAAACAGCGTGCAAAAATACCCCCCTGCCGTTAAGACCCTCCCCCATGGAAAAATTATCTCATGTAGCCTGACATATCGTCAAGGTAGATGCCACGTGGCATGCCACCTCATCGCACTTATTCCATTTTACTCCCTTCCCAACTTTTTCATTCACCACTACCTCCCCCTTAACTCAACCACCACCGACATCACCTCCTCCTTTACCACATGCACACCTATTCTTCCACCACCGTCAAATCACTATTTTTGACCACTATTCTTTCACCAAAATCAAATTGAATCGAACATTTTGAGTATGATGCAATATAAATATGAAAAGAAAGGAGTATGGGATGATGGGATAATAAGGATAAATTACAGAACAGGCACCTAAAATGGCCATATGTAAGAAAACGAGAGATAAAGATGTTGCTGCTTCAAGGATTACTTTATTAGTTGAGACAAAGTGTTTATGGTTAGAGCATGGAAAAATTGCAGAATTAGAATTCCAGTTTTAAACATCATGAACAGTAGGTGCTCGCTAAGCCAAATTCAATTGACTGAGAAATCACATATATCCTGAACCCATACACTGCAGATCCTGGATTGCGCCCAATATAGGTTCGCTATCCATAGTTACCTAACCATATAAGTATTTTTATCGAAAAATCAAAGGCAAGAAAGTGCCTTCCAAGAAAATATTATTGTTCTAGTTTCCTAATTAAACTAGCTAACTGTATCTGTCACCAATGTGACTTTAATTAGATTTCATACTGTTTTGTTTGCATACTTATTTATTAATAAAAAATACAGGATTTGTACTGCATACAATACTTTTTGATTCAGTTTGATTTTTGGTAAACAAATAGTGGTCAAGACTAGTGGTTTGATGGTGGTGGAAGAATAGGTCTATGGTGAAGGAGGAGGTAATGTTGGTGGTGGAAGAAATTGGGAGGGGGTAAAATGGGGTAAGTTCGATGAGGTGGCATCCACCTCAGCATATGTCACGTTCCGTGGGATAATTTTTCTATGGTGGAGGGTCCTAACGGGCAGAGGGGTATTTTTGCACCAGTTTTATGACGTCGGGGGCTATTATGGACCAATAGTATAACGGAGGGTATAAGTGAATATTTTCAAATAGTAGAGAGATATTTTTTACCCTTTTCCGTTCTTAATATTACATGTGAATCAGCTTGCTTTCATATTCAACCCAAAGGTTGCAGGCCTTAAAAGCTCAAAATATTAGTTAAAAAGAAAGAAGCTGGAATTTTGTTCCTGCTTCCATTGAGATTTCCTTATAAGATCCAGTAGTCAAGCTGTAACCTTTGAATTGAATGCTTTTATAAGAGGAATTTAGTGGTAAGTAGCTTATGCAGGGCCTGTATGCCTCTGTCATATTAATATAAAACTATCAAGTCTTGATATCTTAAAATGTATTTTCTAAGTCTCAACTTCAATTGGGAGGTTGATGAAGCAAAAAGGAAGAAAGCTTTGTACAGATAATTTGGCACATTGTTTCAAGTCAGAACAAGAATGTTAGAAAAGCAGGAATGTTTAAAAGCAATTTGCCATTTTTCTTGGCCAACCTGAGTCCATCTCGCCTTTTTGCTGTGTCTGTGCTTCCGCTTTCTACCTGAGGTTTATGTTACTTTTACTAGTTAATGGAATGATGAGGCCTTATGTTAGTACTTGTTACATATCATTTACATGGAAGTTTTTTAGTGTCTTCTCTATTATCTTCTGGTTGCCATGTGTAATAGCAGAGTTATGCTGTTGTAAGGAGTTGAATTAAGAAAATGTTCCTTTTCTTCTTTTTCCAATGAGGATGCTAAAGTTAACAGCAAATTTCCTTTATGACAATGATTTATGTTGATCAATCTCCAAATCATCCTTTCTTTGTTACATACATACATACACTATTAATAAGGGAGAGTTTGAGGAGCTTCCGGTTAGCTGCTGGTCTGCGCAGGGGTAATTTCGCAAGATTGGTGTTAGGAGTAATTAGGACATGTGATGCCCCCATTAGCTCCAGGTTTGACGCGTGCTTACGAAACTCAATTCAAGTTGCTGCCGTGTTCTCTCTGAAGCAATTCTCATCTTTATCAGCGATTACTCTGTTTTTTTTGTGCAAAAATTTCATAGTTACTCAAATTCCTGCGTTGTTTGTCTTTCCGGTGAGTTTAGTTCTGCGCTCCTTTGTCTTCTTTTTGTTTTTTATGGGATCAGAATTGTGGGTAAAATGGTTGGTGCTTTGGAGCTGGCTGCACAGTTTTGAATTATTTATGTCCGACTTTAGTTAACTGGGTTTCTAGCTTAGAACGGAGGTGAAATTGGACACTAAATCTGAATATTTATTCCATAATGATAATAATCTTAGATGAGAGCTTCGTTTTTCATGGGTGTGTCAATTTACCGTGGTTTATCATTCTCACAGTTTTTTATTTGGCTAACCTTCTTGTGAAGTAGAACTGGTTAACTCTCTCTTCATAGCCTCAACAGGACTTCTGTTAGGGCACAATGAGACTGTCCAACTGTAAGTATGAATTTTTCAGTCAACAATTTCCATTTTATTGTTTCCTTGAAAGTCATTTTTACTTCTTATATATTTAAATTCATGACAGACGAAATTCCAGTTGAACTTTGGAGGTGTGTGGGTAGAGCAGGCTTGGAATGGCTTACTGAGTTGTTTAATGTTATATTCAAGACTAATAGGATGCCTGAAGAATGGAGGTGGAGTACAATGGTTCTGTTGTATAAGAACAAAGGTGATATCCAGAGCTGTAACAACTATAGGGTATCAAATTACTGAGTCATACCATGAAAGTCTGGGAGAGAGTGGCAGAAATGAGAGTGCGAAGGACAGTGTCTATTTCAGACAACCAGTTCGGGTTCATGCCGGGGCGATCTACCACAGAAGCTATCCACCTTATTAGGAGGATGGTGGAACAATACAGGGATAAGAAGAAGGACCTCCACATGGTGTTTATTGATCTAGAGAAAGCGTACGACAGGGTTCCTAGGGAGGTCTTATGGAGTTGCTTAGAGGTTAAAGGGGTCTCGGATGCCTACATTA